AAGGCGTGAAATCCGTACACAAAGCCTTCGCACCCAGCTTATATCACAATGTAAATACACCAGTAACCACCCAACAACTGCTCTCTTAAATTATAACAGAATTTATTTAAACAAAGCAACATCAATCCAAAATCAATGAACTTAATTAAACAAATAACTATTATAAACTAATCTAAGCAACAAACATTATCAAGCAAAGGCTTGTGGAAGGGGTGTGAATGTAGGTGTGTGTGTGTGTGTGTGTGAGAGAGAGAGAGAGAGAGAGAGAGAGAGAGGGAAGAAGAAAGGGGGGGGGAGATGGCTTCGTACCCTCGTGGTCGTTCACGATGGCGCAAACCTAACAAAGACCTGGGTGCGTGCGTGTGTGGATGAAAGGGAGAGAGAAGGGGGGGAAGATTACTTCGTCCCACGTGGTCGCCCTTCCGATGGCACACACCTAACAAAGGCCTAAATGTGGCCTTAAGGTCTAAAAGAGACTGAGTTCGGCCCTACACAGTCTGTGTCTCTGAGGCGTCTGGATACCGCGAGTGTATAGATCTCTGTGCGTAATGGCGCGGTGGTGGAGTTGGTCTCCAGATGTACGTTTACACAGGAATATGTGTGTATGTGTGTGCGTAGAAGGGGAAATAAAAGCGAATAAAAGAGAAATGCGTGCCTGAAGAGGCCGGATCACAGTCCGACTCCCGCGCCACAACTCGGAGTAATTCCCTTCATTCACAGAAACAAACCAATAGCCGAATTCAGATTAATACAGCTTACACTGGCCTTTCTGATCAGAAGAGTAATACCCGGTTATAATGCTGTTACGCTAAACACATATAGGACGCAGCGGTCCGAAACAACAAGAGTTTTAAACAGTTAAAACTCAGGACGCAGGTCCAACAAAGATAAAAATTACAGTTTCTGCTTTGATCAACAATTGTTAAAAACACTCTCTAAAGCTAATTCTGCCCAGACCTAATTAAGCCTCACTTGTGAATCGCTTTGTCCGCGATTGGTGAAAGGAAAAGAGTCCGGCGATGGAGCAGATCTTCTGTCCGTCCTGGTGCAGAGGCGTCTGATGGCGGCGAGGGTCCCTTACGGCGAGAGCGGCTTCGTTGGTTCTCCGTCGAGTGGAAAGATGTCCTTTGATGTCCTTTCGTTGCAGGACGGAATAAGACCGTTATCTTTCTGATAATCTGTTATAGTCTGACGCTCTCCGAGAAACTGAGATGCGTTCACTGGACAATCCGAGCTCGGAATTTAGAACACTGCCGGCCGCGGATTACCTGCGCGCCAAAACTTAAAACAAAGGAAGATTGTTGCAGGAAACAGGAGATCTTCTTGGGTCTCCGAGCACCGAAGGTCAGCGCGTGAAAGAGGTCGAGCAATGGAAGTCTTGGAGTTTTGTAGCCTGGCCTGCTCCATGGGGGTCTACCTCAGGTCTCCTCCAATGAGGAGAGAGAGGTTCCGGTCCCCCCTTTACTTCACACGTAGGTGTGAAGTACCGCAGGGGATTCTGGGATTAAGAGTCCTTTTAGGCCTCTTTGTGATCTCAGTGAATAACTCAAATGAGGCTTTTACAGAGGTGCAGGCCCAAGTCCATTGTATGACTGTTCTAAGCCTGCGTGGCCCAACATATACTTTCAAGATTCTGAAATATATAAATACCTGGATCAGGTTGTGTTTTAAGTTGTTTATTTCTTGGACTAAAAGCTCTATGGGGTGGCAGTAGCTCAGTCTGCAGGGACTTGTGCTGGGAACCGGAGGGTTGTCGGTTCAAGTCTGGAGATTGGTCTGGTAGCTGGAGAGGCGCCAATTCACTTCTGAGCACTGTCGAGGTGCCTTTAAAAAGACACCTCTCAAGGCGTTTCATAACACATTATCACTCACCCCCCCCCCCCCCCTCCAGGATTATTAAAGTATTTCTGATTCTGATATAAATGGCGAATGTGAATAATAATGTGATTAATTCCAATAAACTATTGGAATCTAGTGATTCCAACAGTTTCTCGCTCATCTCCTGCTGCTTCTTTTTGTACCGGCAGAACAAACATGCAAAGTATTCTGCTCTTTGCATAATTTATTTACCTACCCCGCACACACACACACACACACACACACACACACACACACACACACACACACACACACACACACACACACACACACACACACACACACACACACACACACACACACACACACACACAAATTATCAGTTTCTCACAATATGAACATTAGGGATTTAGAATGATATCTCCTGCATCCTGTACAACACTTGTATAAATGTGAACATTTGTGTTAAAATTATAAGAACAATCATGATTTGTCATTGTTTCATCATATGACATATCTCTTTTAAAAGCTGTGATTTTTTTCTATGGCTCATCTCCTGCTGCTCCCTGTTCTACCAGCAGAAAGAAAAACAGGCAGAGTATTCAGCTTTGCATAATTTATTTACCTACCTCGCCCTACACACCCACACACAAAATAACAACACATTAACAGTATTATCAGTCTCTCACAGCATGAACATTTGGGATTTAGAATTACACCTTCTGCATACAACACTTAATGTGTGGTGAAATAATATATAAACAAGCATGTGATCCATACTCCACACACAGTTTCTGTTATTGCAAATGATGTACAGTTGATTACTGTGTCCTACAAATAAACTTAACATGATGTGATGAAATAGGCAATGTCGACATTAACTCAACCTGTGAAGCATGTGAGGGCAGTCGAAAAACTTCTAAAGGACAGAATAAAAACAATATCAAGTAGTTGGCAGTTATGATGAAGTAATGAATGAGTGTTAACATCTTTACAGAAGAATTTATATTTGTTGACTAATACTAATACACTGAAATCTTAATAACGTCTTGGCACTTTATTTTAGAAAGTTAAAAACAGCTTCTAAATGTTTATGGAGAGCTTATAAAATAGGGCGAAAGTTAAGCTCATCAAAAATGATCTTCAAAATAGAGAAGGTCCCAAATTGCAAATTGATGTGCGGTACCTTCCACTCTTTAATCAAACATAGGCACATAGGCAAATTACTATTAACACTTTGTTTTAATTCTCCACTCATGAAGAAGAAAAGGCTGCAAGACAATATATTTTTATATATATATTTCTACTGTATATTCGGGTGTGGGTAAGTAAAAGCACGGGAACAACTTCTGCTGTGCGTCTCAGACGTTTAATATCGTCCGTAACAGAGCATGACATATCCAGACTGAACAACAACAACAGTGACACCTTACTTGTCCTAAAGCAATATCACTCCTCAAACCGTAACCATGGGTAACCTTAAAGGCATAGTGCATCATATCAAACAGATACTCTTGTACAGTACAAAGTGTAAATGTAAATGAAATTAGCATTAAATCAAATAATGTATATTATCTCAACCTAAGCAAAATAAAGATCTATAAAATAATACTTCACAAAAATAAATCTCATCTCCATCTTACACTATCTTTGAAAGTCTTGACACTGGCTGCCTCTTTGTCTTCATATTGATTTTATTATTGTCTAAAGCACTTGGCCTCCCACCAGATTAACTTTTCAGAGTTGATTTTAGTTTATGAACCAGGACGACCCCTCAGGTCTTCTTGTTCTTCTCTGGTTCTTCTTTTAGTTGTTCCACAGAGCAGAACAAAAACCTTTTGTGATTCTGCGTTTAGCTGCTCTGAGACTTTGGAACAGACTTCAGAGGATCAGAGAATATTGAGATTTTTAAAAACAATTTAAAAAAACTCATTTATTCAGTCTGGCTTTTCTATATGACTTAATCATTTTAAGGCTTTTAATTTACTATATTTTAATCAATATTATTCATCTCTACTTTTAAATTTACATTTTAGTGTTTGATTTTAGGTTTTTAGTATTTATATTTATCAATCATTGTGCTGATTTCATTTCTTATTGCTGTTATATTTTACAAACTACCTTTTGTCAGTCATTTTTCCGCTCCTTTGTAAAGGACTTTGAACTGCAATTAGATTTGTACCACAGGTGATATATACAGTGTATATATATACATATATATATATATAGATGCATATGGTTTGATAGATTACACAATGTTGAACTCAGGATTTTCTCTGATGTTTATTTTGAATACATGCAGATTTTATCAGATATGAACCCATCACAACAGGAATACACTTGAAAGGTTATCATAGATGCATTATGTAAGAACCAATCGTCAAACAATTATAGCTTCACTTAAAGTCTGTCATACATTTAAACACATTCATCATCCATCCAAGAAAGGTAGTTGATGGATACGTTTAAAAATGTATTGTTTAATTCGAATTTCAAGTTTTTAGATGCAAATAAAGGTTTTCACAAGTTCCAGTTTTTAAAGTAAGAATCATAAACTCAAAAGAAGAGCACATTATAAAACATGCCCAAAATAAGACTCATTTTAAAACAGATTAAAATTGTATTGTGATAATGAATGCTGCAGATACAAAGTAATATAATATAAGATAATACCAGTAACCAAAACATCACTCATGATCATCTCTCATTAAACACCACTCAAAGACAAATAATCTAATCTCATGTCCTCAATCTTCAAACGATTAACATCAAAACTAAAACACACTGAGTATTCTAAATCCCTAAATAAACCACAAGTGAAATAATTCACTCCATTACACATGTTGGGAGTGCTTTACATCTTTCCCCGACCAAAAAGAATTCACAACCTACAAAGAAGCATAATGTGACCAAAAGCTGAATCAATTCAGAAACATACAGTTTATATATTCAGTTTGAGACAATGATTGTTGGATTTCAATAATGGCTTTCTTTACCTAAATGGTATTCAACAGCCATACAGCTGCTAGCTGTGTAAGTATCCAGTGTCATGTGTGTCTATGTATCAGTTTAGAGATCAGAAATTCAAATCCAGAAGCGATCCAGATCCAGTGATCTTTGAGATATGGCTTTATAACTATATATATTTTCCTTAATGTTAAAAAAAAGTATCCAATTTTTTCTGTATCAAATTTTGAATGGGTTTTCTGTGTGAGTCGATAGAAGCGTAACACAGTGAATTAAATGGGCCAATGATACTGTTTCATATTGACTGCAGGCCCCGTAATTGTACAGAGTGGTATCATATATTATGATTTATCTTTGTCCTCAGAATAAAAACATGTTGTGTGTTGTTGGAACTGATTTTTAAACAATCAATTTAAAAGAATGATACAGCATGTATATGATAAAAGCGAGAAAAACATGAGTGCTAGGTCTGAATGCAAATATTATTCAGTGTTATTTATGTTGTTTGGTAAGTTCCTTGGTGTCAACTTCAGGAGGATCGCTCTAATTACCCTCAGGTCCAACCAGATTTGGCTTCTTCTCTAGCCTGCATGTTAATAAGGACACAAAAGTACATCTGTTTTAAAGAAAGCAGTGCAGAGTAAACCTAGTGAGAGATAAACTGAGGCAGAAATGATTCTATTTGACAAACGATCTCTCATTCAATTTATTTTAAAGCAAAATAATGCACTCATCATGCAGATCCATCATCTCACTGGTGAGAACTTTCAGTTTTTTTAAATCTCAAGTAATAAAATACATTATTTCAAAGTTTTTGTCCGTTGGTAGGAAAATACAAAAGTTTGAAGACACCAATGCTAATTTGGCATCAAAAAGGATCAAAATCATATAAATGCAAAAGAAGAATCCTGAAGTTTTGTTTCACTATGCAATCATTCCCTAACTGCTCATTGTTCCATTCTAATGCTCATATATTAAAACAGCCTTTCAATGTAATAAAACCACTAACTGCATATATAATGTCACATACAGAAAAGCAATTTTTACAGCAGAAATAAACATGTTTACAGCCGATTAAAAAAACTAAATTGGTCTGATTATCTCATGTCTCAATCAGCACACACTGTATGAAGAGGGATTTTTTTTAACATGTCCGTTTTTCTTTTCATGAAGGATACACGTTATTCACAATAAGACCTGTAGCTTATAGGCCTGGGCTAAAAAACTAAAAATGTTATCAAAATGTCATATCAGTCGATATAATTATCACAATAATTGTCAATCATTTTACTTTCAAATTTTCAAATTTAAAAGCTGATTTTTGCTCCTGAGTGAAAGTTGAAGAAACCAGAGGGTTGGTTAATCTTTTGGTTTCACTCCCATGCTGTGTTGCTTACCTCTCTTAACCTGAGGGCCCCAAACCAGAGTCCTGCACGGTTCCAATACAGGTCAGTAAAATTGTTTCAGTACAGAAACCTGACTGACTGTCTAGACTTGCTGTCTAACCTGGATGCAAACCAGGACAAAGGACAATAACATGTTGGAGTGTTGCTCACTTTGGCAGTATTTTTTAAGTTAAAGTATCAAATCTATTAGAGTAGAGCTTCACCAGCAAGGTAAGCATACGTTAACCTGAAAGGAAGACCGAAGGCTGAGGATGCTAGCACAGCTAATGTTTTCCACACTCAGCAGATTGTAGATCACATGTTCAACCATATTAAATAAACTGTACTCAATGTGAAGTGTTTTCTGTTTACTTTAGCCAAATCAACTGGTTTTATGTTCAATCAACAGCAAGTTAGTCGATATTGTATCCTTTAACATCTTAATATTCAACTATTATCAAAGGATTAGAAAATCATTGTACCACTGTTCAAAGTGCTGTCTGGCAGCCTCCACACTCTGTTCATCAACATCATCTTTACAGAAGACCATGATCAGCTGCTCAGAAAAGATCGTTGTGCGAATCCTGGATGCCTGTAAAGATTGACAGCAGCTTTAATTTGAGAGTTATGGTGACATAAGCTGCCTTACAAATAACAAACAGAAGAAATATTGAATGATTGTGAAAAAAAAATTTTTTAATCAATAATTAGTTCTGAAATTTTCTGGGGACATTGGCTTTGCCACGTCAGGCTCCTTTTTGCTGTAGAAATGCATATGTTCAACAGGGTTCTTTCATGCCGTAGTCCATGTTAATGACCTAAAAGAAGGTCGAGAGTAAAATGTGTGCCATAACAAACTCTGCAACATCTTACAAATCAAAGAATCAGCAAAACTGAAGATTTTACAAAAAAAGTGAGACGAAAGAAAGTAAAAACAACTCACCAGGATTTCAAAGTCCTCTGATGTCAGGTTTCTTTTTCCCTCAGCCAATCCTTCTTTCCAGCCAGTAATCTGGCTCTTGACAAGGAATCAGAAAAGAATTACAACAGTGGAAAAGGATATAGATTCAAGTTTTTTTGCATTTTAAGTTGACAATGTAAGCAACTTGGAATTCAATTCACATTCACTCAAAAAACTGCACCGACTTAATGTAAATGCGTTTGACTGTAGGGCTGCATGGTATGATCTAAGCATTAATTTTGCTATGTGTGTAAGTGCCATGGTAATATCCCAGGACGTGTGTTAGTCCATGAGCACATAAAGTGTAGAGGGAGAGAGAGAGAAGGGATCACATGCAGTGTATGACGATGAACTGTTCTTTGCTTAGAAGTTAATGTCACAGGGCTCTTGATGCAAATTAAATGTAGCTTTGAATGTATAAGGGGTTCTTATTTGTAAAGGAAAATAAACTTGAAGACCCAAATAATAATAAAAATTGTAATAGTATGAACATTAAAAGAAAACGCAGTTTCCCCAATATCATGCAGCATTAGTTGACTGAGGGATTTTGTATTGTAAAACATTTCAAGCTGCTATCCAATTCACATTACATTTCAAAAAGAACTGTTCAATAGTGCTGCTGTTCATGTTAAATGTAATAACAACACGGGCAAGATAAAATGCTGGAGACAGTAAATAATGTGATGTGTACTTATTCTATTAACTGAAAATGAGCACATTATCCAGCTTTGTGATAACAGTGCATTAGATCATGTGTTATAAATGTAATGAAACACAAGAACACAGACTTACTTTCAAATCCTCGATGGGGTCCTCTTGCTTTCTCTCACCAACAAACTTGTAGATCTTTCGAGAGATGATGTTTTGCAGAATCTCTCTTGCCTGTTTTAGTTCTGAGCAGGAAGACTTCAGTATTTCCTCAAACACGTTGTCTAAAAGAGTAACAGAGTAACAAGCAAACAAATGATAATAACACACAAAAATTAGTGAATTTAATTTAAACACACTCAATAAATGTAAGACATGGCATGTTCATTTATAAGTCATCACAAGTAAATTAAAGGATTGTGGTTTTTATCTTTAACAAATGCACGATAAAAAAATGGATAAAGTAGCATAACTGTAAATGACCTAGCAACAGAGCCATCTGACAGAAAGCAGCATCTAACAAAGAGTGTTTCCAAAAAGTGTTGAAATATGTCATATTTCTGTTACTCATAAATAAACATCCTAAATATCAAACAAGTTCAAATGATCAGGACAGCCAGTTGTTCAGGATGTTTGAGACTGGATTTGTGAACTCCTCAAACTACCAGATAACCTTGTCCTTGGCCAAACATCAAAACCGACCAAGTGCCTACACACAATTTCCTTTTCAGATTGTTGGGTGTAGTGCATTATTTAAAACAATGTCTTGATACTCCTGAAGTCTGAATTGGCTTCAATGTTAAACATGAGCTAACAGCACACATTTAAATCTACACACCTGTGAGCTTTGTGTAGGCCTCCATGTCCTCATTGGCTGTAGAGAGAGTGAACATCCTCCCTCCTGATCCTTCAATCTCAATGTGACCGTCTGCTTTAAAAAAAGCCTCTGCAATCCTGTATGTTCATATCAAACATATTATTACTGATGAGATAGTGAATCATGACGCAGATCAAATAATGGAAATCTTATATTTGGAGTACTAAGATCTGAAGGTAGACACTTACATATGTTCAATGACTTTGTTTACTCTGTGCTGATAGGCTCTTTTGTGGAGACGGTGTCTTATGTAGAACAAGTCGTACATATTGTCCTCCTCCTGTTGAGGTTAGGACTGTAGTTTAGTCATAAATAACAACATTATCAGTTTGCTTTCAATTATCTGTTTACAAGCTCAAGTTTGTCATACTATGTCTCTGGTGCAGATAGTTTTCCTTCCATCAACCTCACACACTCTGGCAAACTTCAGGAAGCGATGAAAGTCAAAGGTGTTCTTGATTCCCAGGTATAAAGAGTCCCTGAGTAGTGTAATGGGGAAAAAATATATTTAGCAGATGTGTTAGAGTAATTCTAATGTGAACTGTGTGACATTTCATGAAATGCTGGTTTAGATTAAGCATCATGTGTTTGGATAACCTTTGATTTCTACAAGGATGACTCTACATGGACTAAACATTCCTCTGTTCAGGTTGATTGTGTTAAACTGCTTATCTCCTACAACAGGAGCTTGTCAATATTGTTGTTTCCTCTTTGACATGTATAAAAGGAGACTTCATCTGTATGTCATTTGAGCTACTCTGCAGTGTGGTCACCATGATACACTCTGTACAGTTTTTCTTCCTGCAACTTCTTGTAGGAATAAAACCTCACAAAGATGATTGGGGTTTTCGTCTTTGTTCGTATTCTCACGGGGAAATATTTCTATTACTGTAGAGACAGATTAAGGCAATGTGAAGAAAATAGGTGTATAGAGGGAATGAATTTACTGTTGAGCTGTATCATTTTAAATAAATCAGGAGAATAATGCATTGTTCAGGGTTAAGAATTATTTTACAGCACTTCATTAAAACCTGACCTGGCCAAGTAGTCAAACTTGTCCACATCAACGCCGTTTCTTTTGTTTTGAACACAATTTCGTAGAGGAAGGACTTTTCTTCTGGGCGCCCTTTGAAGTCCAACTGCAGGGATGACGACACAAAGCGAATCAGGACCAGTTTTATTGACACGTATGTTGTTGTCAATGAATTTACACTGCATAGAAAACATATGTAGGACCATTTCACAAAACAGAGATAAAGCTAAAATATGAACACAATAAACTATGTACATGAAAAAGCATGACAAACAAAACAACGGTTAAATTTTAAGATCTGAGTTCTAGGCAGATGAAAAACTTTTTGTCACTCTTCTTGTCCGCCTTTATACTGAGGAGATGTTACAAAATAGTGACATTGCTGTAGGACACAGACTGATTTATGCACAGATGAGAACTTGCCTTCTGGTCTTCAGCAATCATCACCTTAATGTTTTTCGCATGTTAAGGGTTCAATCCATGCTTCGCTTTCATCAAATCATGAAAAATATTGCAAGAAGACAAGGAACAACACAAATAGCACAACCAACATTTGCAGAGAAGATCTCAAAACGTGTGTATGAAAGAAACACTTTAAATGTCAGAGTTCCTAAAGTTCCTCAGAATTTGACGAGTGACTTAAAGTCAGCCAATTTTCTGTGGACATATACTGTATACAACATCCTAACAGTCTTTATCAGGGTTATTTAGCTAGCTGAACTCAACACAGAGTCAAACTGTTAAGCATAACAGTTTTTGGGAAGGTGATCATGCAGCTCAGTTTTCTCTCTAAGGATTTTTTCACACCTGGATAGTTTGGAAAAGTTGTTCTGAAACCATAGCCCGGTTTGTTTGATAAATATGTGAACACAGCATTCACACTATTTTAGCTCTCAACTTTTTGATCTATTTTTTTTGAATGGTGCACTGTGTGCTCTTTTTTGGCTATCTTTGCTCTTTGCTGCCCGTTGTAGGATGAATAAAGTTTTATCTTCTCTTATCTTATATTCATACAGTATCTTATCCGACTTCTGAAAAACATAATGAGGTGAACTTGCTCCTGCTCTTTAGATTCTGTAGAGGTCCAGCAATCATCTCCTTGATGAATGTTATGTCTTCTTCAGGTTTCAGTCCATACTTCTCCATCACTGGTTTAAGATTATTCTCTTTCAGCAGGTGGTCTAGCATGTCACAGAGCCATTTTCATGCTGCGAGACACACAGACTCATAAATGTCTCAACACAAGATTTAATACATAAATATAATAATCCCACATACTTTAATTTCCCCCACATTTGAAGAGTATATCTCAAACGTATGTATGTAAAACAACTTACAATGTCAGAGTTCCTAAAGCGCTTCAGAATTTGACGAGCCACTTAATGTCAGCCAATATACTGTATACAACATCCTAACAGTCTTTATCAGGGTTATTTAGCTAGCTGAACTCAACCCGATGTCAAACTGTTAAGCATAAGAGTTTTTGGGAAGGTGAAATGCAGCTCAGTTTTCTCACCGAACGTTTTTTCACACTGGATAGTTTGGAAAAGTTGTTCTGAAACAAAGGGGCGTTTCCCCTTTAGCCCGGTTTGTTTGGGTGTAAACACAACAATCGCACTCTTTTGATCTAAGTTATTGAATGGTGCACTGTGTACTCTTTTTTGGCTATCCTTGCTCTTTGCTGCCCGTTGTAGGATGAATAAAGGTTATCTTCTCTTATTGAGTGACAAAGAGACATAAACAGATCTAGAAATCCCTTCTGCTTTTAAAAGAGTCCTGTCATAAAGAATTACCTCTCATGAACCATGAATTCAATTTTATCTTTGTTTGTTGTATCTAAATCTCTGAATCACCAGGATTAATGGTTAAAAAATAAACATTTAGTAAAATCTCATAGAGCTTCTGAAAAGCGGTAACATGTCAGATAAAAAGTTGACATAATATTACCAAAGAGAATAATGAGGGTCATTTAGCAACACAAACTACACCGTTCATTGTTATTAAATAAATAGATCAACATCCTTGGAAATGTGCATAATCACATTCTACCTGAGAAGGCAAACAAAAAAGAACATCCTGGATTTTGTTTCAAAAGAACAAGCCAGTGTGAAAGGTACATGTGCTTCAGTTTTGCCGTTCCTCTGTATTTCATTTGTCATATTACAACAGAAATAAAAACTTCTTACCTTCCATTTCTTTAATTTCCTCTTTTTTTCCAGTGCTTTGGGGAGGAACAGTCCATCATACAGATGGGAAAAGGGTCCATGA